GAGCTGGGCTTACACTTGGTGGAAAAATGGTGGGGATGTTATACACTGTATGTTATGAGCAACCAAAGCGAATCAAGTCTGGTCTTCAATACGACAACGGGTGCGCTCGAAAATGGCCGATAGACTACGGATAGATACCCAAAGTTTCCAGTGGTTTCCTCATTCCGGAAATTTGGATCCAACAATATATATATATATACTATAGATATACTATTCTAGATATAATTATCTAGATATACTATAGATATTCTATATAGATATACTATAGAATTGGTGTATCTTCAGTTGGAAGCCGCATTGGGTGTCCCGGTGTTGTGGTCAAGTTTCCCCGGGTCCATCAGGGCACCTGAACTTGGCTCAGGCATCACGAATCTCACACGGATGCTTACAATACGAACTGGTGAACCATCATCTTACTTGATACATGATTAAAAAAAGTGAAACTATACCAGAAATGTGAAACTATACTAGAACTATACTAGAAATCTGAAACTATACTAGAAATCAGATAAATCACTTGGCCATATCTTCAATCTCTTACATGAGTTTGCATTTGGTCATTTAAGTTCTTTTGTTTGCGGTGCTGATGGAATTGATGCCCGCTGGAGCTGCCCAATCAAGTCTAAGACCTGACACTGACCCTGAAGCCTCCGATTTGGGTAGAGGGGTGTGCTGAACACATGCATGTATTTGAAATTTGAAATATTTTATTCTGATATACTGAAATGGGAGTATCCCCAAATCATCCAATTATAGATGGATTTTTCATTATAAACCAACCCTTTTGGGGATCCCCAATTTATGGAAACCCCGTATTCTTTGAAGGAACATCCACAAACAAAAAAACTTCAGAATCTCAAGCAGATGGCACACATCCGTTCTCAAAAGTTTGATCGACAAAAATGGGAACGGAAGGTTCGAATTTGAAGCCTGAATCCTTCAGATGACTGCACATGGAAAAACATATCAAAAGCTGCCAAAACCTTAGCAGCCGGAGCAGTTCCAGCAAAAACAGTGCGTAAATTACTATTCATAATACTATAATATACTATACATATGGGAGTTATACAGTTATACCCTCAATTAATAACACATTGGATTTTTCTCACGATCCATGTGCTGGGAATCCCATTAAAAAACCACCAGTGATTGTCCAGCATTTTGATGTTCGCAGTTTGATCCATGGCTACCCTCTGGTAAACGTTAACAGTTTGCTATGGAAAATCACCATCTTTGAGAACGGTAAAACTGCTATTTCTATGGGGCCATTTTCAATAGCAAACTGTTAGTTTACTGGAGGGTAACATGTTCATCGTTTGGTGATTTTCTTTATTGTGTAATGTTCCTCGTATTCACAACGATGAAAAAATGTATAACATAAAACAAGTTTTGTTGTGGGAATACTATGGGATAGTTACAGTATATAAATCATGTATTTAGTGGATACCTTTTTAGGATAGTTATACATAGTAGTACTGAAAATCCATTAAACAAATCCGTTGCAACCCCTAGGTTTGCCCGCGGCCAATCCCGCATATCCTTTGACATGCTCAAATCCCTTAAAGTCAAAATCACTGCGTATAGCCAGTGTTTTCATTCATCCTCTGGTGATAGGCATATCATTTTAAGTTTGGATGTGTTGTTTTTTCGTGTGGGCGAAACCAAACCAGGGTTGCGGGGAACAAATCTCATGGTCAGGATGCCGACAAAACTTTGGAGAACTTCTTCCACCTCTCGCTACTGGGCTCGGCAGCTACTCGTTTAGCTGGAAAATCCTTCTGTAAATGTAGCTTTATAGCTGGAAAAAATCATCGTAAATGGTGGATCTGAAAAATTGCAAAGGGTATAATTAATCCATATTACATAATCCCCATTTACTATAGATATAACCCCGGGGCCTATATATAGACCCGAATGGTTGGAGGCACCACGCTCGCTTGACGTGCCAGTCAGAGATAGTTGGTGAAATCTTTTCGGTGCCTAACAAAAATGTTGTTTTGGTATGTTTTGGTCAACTTACTTTACGGTTGAAATTGCTAGCAACTTGTCAACTGTTGAGTAAGTAGCAATTTCATGCAGTTTTTCCCTAAAATGCTGTCGCTCATCCTACAAGAATGAGGATTTGGAGTGACAAAACTGAGGTCGTAGTCATGAACATCGGGTCTTGTTCCTATCCAAAAAAACCAGGTACCAGGTACCATATTTTCTGTCCTATTGATTCACGACGGAGCTTGAAAGATCTACCCCAAAATGGAGTGTTTCAAGAACACAGTTCTGGAGCAACAAAAACGTGTGCCAACCAAACATAAAGAGCAGCCGCACAAAAAGTGATGACCGATCATGGCAATTGTTTGAAATGATACCTCGACAGGCGCTTTATTGTGAGACCACCGTGGCGGCTAAGATTCAAGAACTTTGTTGTGGCGAATGTCTACCACATGGGCTTTAACACGGTCTGTGGGGCACCCAGAAATCCTCGGAGCTTTATCAGAGATCAGGGAAGGGCTGGAAGGCCAGCATATCCAGTTGATCAACTTATGTTGTTTGTTTACAAAAACATAAAGGACTTGCAATTACATGTAATGCAGCCTAATAATAGTGTATCCACAATCATTGTTTCAAACATATAGCTGTATGAATCTGTATGGTATCTTTATATATATATATATAACATCAGGGTGCCCTTCTATTCGAAAGATACCATAAGAGTTCAGCCATGGCGTCTCCAGCCTCGGCCTTTGGAACTGCCGAGGCGTCCTGGCTTTCGTGGTCTTCTTTGCTGGTTCAGCCAAGGAGAGTGTCAAATCCAGCCGTTGAAACCATGGTTTGGTACTGGATCTATCCATTTGAGGCCCCACATCTTGCGACGATGATTCCTTTTTGGGCTATTGTCAGAAGCTTTGGATGACTGGAACGGCAATTGGAAAAAGAATTTTTCGGAGTCCAGAGAGACATGAAGGACCTCCTGAGTTCTTTTGTGCTCTCTCAAGTACAGATCCACAGGCTAATCGGCTAATCGCATCGCTCATGACTGGGATTTGAAAGCTGAATAGCCCTGGCTATGTCCAGCCTCAGTTGTGGGGCGGTGGTGGTCGAAACGAAAGATCCACGCCAACGTATTTTTGAGCAGTTTGAGGATGTTTCAGACATATCCCCAAGCCATATCCATCAAGATCATCAAGCACCCCACATGTTTTGTAGTGAGGTCAAACATATCATGACAATTTAATTGGATGTATATTAAGATAATCTAAAATAGTTGTTTGTATTGTTTTCCATTGGTTCAATCATATCCAGCATACATTTGGTGTTTTCTTGGGTGAAGTCACAACAAAAAGACTATGGTCGGCTCGAGGATCAGCTGCCATAAACTTCTACTGGGGATGGTTGAAAAACATAGCACCCATAAAAATTGATGATTTCGGGGATGGTCTATTAGTATCTATTATCTATTATTATTTTTTATTTAGTTTACCACATTAGTGAGATCTCTAATTGTTTTTTTGATCCATGGTCATCCCATTACTCGTCGCTCGCGCAGCCACGTAGCCGTCTCCTTTTCTTGGGATTGGGCTCTAGGTCCATCCCAGGCTCGGCAGTGGTGGTCGTTGTGGGATTGCGGCTATTGAAACAGATCTAAATGGGATGGTGGTTTGAAACATCACCATTTTATCCATCACCAAAATCCCAGAAAACCGATATGAGATTTTCTAGATCTGAAAACATATCTGAACGATGTAACTATGCTGAACAAATGCCTTGACGTAGAAATGAAGCTCTCGTCCGCGATCTTACCAGCACCTCTATGGGATGATGGCGGTAGATTCCATTGCGAAGCTTAGAGACCGAGGAAACAGCACTTTTTTCCGCGCCAGTTTTCACAAAATGATGTGAACTGGTGGTTTGGAACATGGGTTATATGGTAATATATGGATTAACTATGATATAATATAGATATATTTACTGGTTGGTGGTTTGGAACATGACTAACTTATGACTTTTATTTTCCATAGGGAATTTCATAAGCCCAACTGACTAACTCCATCATTTTTCAGAGGGGTTCAAACCACCAATCCAGTGCATGATGTGCCAACTCCGTCAAGAACTGCTCGCCTCGGTTCCTTCTGCCGGAGAAGTTCTGGGAAGTGTGAAAAATTTATCACACGGCCCTGCAAAGCCGTAGTGACTTACCCTCTGGTAAACTAACATAACTATGGAAAATCACCATTTTTAATGGGAAAACTCACTATAAAAGGCCATTTTCCATAGCTATGTTAAATTACCAGAGGGTAACATATGGAACAGCCACCATGATCGTTTTCCAAACGGGCGTTCCGTGTAAAATCTACTACTTGATCACCTATAGGCTCCAGTTGCAGCAGGTTTATCAAGGCTGCATTTTGTGCTGTACTTCTTTGATTTTCCTTGTAATTCCCATGAAATCTTAACGATTAACGTATATTGACATATATATTTATAGTAGTTATTTTCAGCATATGGCAAGTAAGTGAGCCACCAACATGTTGTTTTATATGACACTTGTTCACCAGCTTCCTCTGAAGGCAACTCTCTACAAAAAGGGGCCCCAATGGAAGGATCACGCCTCATGGAGATCTGGGATGATCTGGGGGGGTCCATGGGTTTGGATAGATCTTCATGGCATTTGGATTTCATGACCCTAAAATTGGAAATTAAACCAACTGAAACATGCGCCTTTCAATGTTTTTTTAAAATAATCCAGCCCAAGTTTCCCATTCCATCCCATTTTTATCTCCGTTGTCGTTGGTATATATCCGCGTTTTTGTTGGTGAATTCCTCTTTGATATCCATTAGCGTCTCCAATAGATGCTTCTAAGTCTCAGCATTTTCCCAACTGCTGGTGAGATCAGTTAAATCTTACTGATAGACCATCTGAAAATCTTTATGTTTGTTGGTGAAATCCCTCGAAAATCCGCCACCTTTGGCATCGCAGGCGGCGCGGTGCCTCCGTTCGAGGTGCCATGGGGAAGATGGGCGAGGAGCGACAAGAGGAGGCAGGGTGAAACTCAGGGTGAAAGGACGACGGAAAAAAACATAAGATGTTAGTGATTCAATGGGATTTTGTAGTGACTGAATGGGCTTTTATAGTGATTGAATGGGATTTTATAGTGTGAATGGGATTTTATAGTATGTGAATGGGATTTAATAGTGATTGAATTGGATTTTATAGTGATTGAGTGGGACTTTATAGACTTTATAGTGATTGAATGGGATTTTATAGTGATTGAATGGGATTTTGTAGTGATTGAATGGGCTTTTATAGTGATTGAATGGGATTTTATAGTGATTGAATGGGATTTTGTAGTGATTGAATGGGATTTTATAGTGAATTGGATTTTGAATTTTATAGTGATTGAATGGGATTTTATAGTGATTGAATGGGATTTTATAGTGATTGAATGGGATTTTATAGTGACTGAATGGGATTTTATAGTGACTGAATGGGATTTTATAGTGATTGAATGGGATTTTATAGTGATTGAATGGGATTTTATAGTGATTGAATGGGATTTTATAGTGATTGAATGGGATTTTGTAGTGATTGAATGGGATTTAATAGTGATTGAATTGGATTTCATAGTGATTGAATGGGAGTTTATAGTGATTGAATGGAATTTCATAGTGATTGAATCGGAGTTTATAGTGATTGAATGGGTTTTGATTAAAAAGAAACATTATTTTATATAATGTTTGATTTTTAAGAAATAGAAAAATGGGATGATGATACCCAATGGCTAGGCCGCAAAAAATCCTTGGCGTCGTCACGGAGGTTTGACATGTACCTGAAGTCACCCCAGTCACTGGTAAAATACCTAATTTCAAAAGAAGGCTTAAGTGGTCCTGGTGAGGGATAACTCTTATTTCATCTTATTTCAATTTTTGATGTTTAGATAGATATCAACCAAGTCCAACGGAACTTCTTGAGATCTCTGACTTCAAGGGATGGCTTCTATCTTCGATGGCTGCAGGGAGAGAAACATGTCAACCTCAATGTGGGCATGAAGAGAGCGAGCAAATTCATCGCTGACCAGGCGGGCGAAGTCAGGGCTTTCCCAAGGGATTCAAGGGATCACACGAATTATCGGACAGGAGGCTTTTCGGGTTTTTTTGTTGGGGTGTTTCAACCACAACCGCAACACCGAAAGTGAAATGGTTGGGAGCAGAACTACCAATCTTATAGTGATTCTTGATCTGAATTCTTGGCCGGAGAGAACCGCTTCTGTAGTACCACAACACCGGCGGAGGGGGTCCTGATGATCATTTGGAGCATTTCCACGCGCCAACGGGAGCCACAGGTTGAGGTTTGCTGCTACTCTTTGTCCCAAACCATCAAAACAGAAAATATCGAGGCTTAAACAAATCCCCCTTTTGGTTTCTAACACCTAGTTTAAACAGTGGAAACATAATGCAACATACACATTTGATGTAACGTGGTAAACCCAATGCCAGAAAACATCCCCAAGTTCATCATTTTTGTGGCACAAATCATCCCCATAGTAGGTTTATGGCATTGGTTTTACCACATGATTCTGATCTTCTGTCCAATCCTACAGGATACCTCAAAGGTACCTCAAGTGACTCCCCTAAGCACCTGCGCGCCGCAGATGCTTGAGCAAAGACATCTCAAGGTGCTGCACCAGATCTTGTCCACCGCATGGAACAGGCCGCCGAAAGCGGCAGTTGCAGGTTTTTTCATGGGATTTTAGAGTGATCCAATGGGATTTTCATGGGATTCACCCTACATTACCCTCTGGTAAACTAACATAGCTATTGAAAATGGTCATAGAAATAGTGAGTTTTCCCATTAAAAATGGTGATTTTCCATAGCTATGTTGACATAACCAGAGGGTACATCTGATTTTACAGTGATCCAAGCCATGGGATTTTTGGATTTTTCGATACAGATGAAGCAAGCCATGGGAAACAGATGGAAACCAACTAGTTGATGAATGTTGATGTTTGGCTTAAGGAATTATGAATTATATATATATTATACATATTGTATATATATATATTGTATATATATTGTATATATATATTGTATATATATATATTGTATATATATATATTGTGAATATATTATATTATATTATATTATACTATATTATATTATATTATATTACATTATATAATATTATAATATATTGTATTATATATGTTATACATATTATATATTATGTAATATAAATATATATATATATATATATCATATATATACACACATATTGTATTATATATAATATATGATATGTATATATATATAAATAATTTACATAAAAGTGCTGTTAATGAGCAAGTTTCGATCTGGAAAGCCCTCATTTCATAGATGCTTTCCTCAGGAAACCACAGATGTTCATCGATTTTCCGTATCGTTAGGTATTACACAAAGGGGTATGCCATTTTCGGAATCACGTTTCCTTATCGCTCAGTTCATGAATGACCAACACCGTACTGATCTCATTGTGGTCAGCCGCTGATAGTAGCATCGCATCACTGAGATGGTGATGACGATCAGAATATGGTATGATAAGTTACATAACTCCCTAGAAAAATGAGGAAGCGAATCATTGCGAAACATATCATACTCAGAAACAGATATTTACAGTCTAGTCATCTCTAATTTGATCCCCGGTCAAAACGGTTGCATTTCCATCTGCATTTCCCATGCACCTCCAGGAACGGCCAAGTGCAATCGCTGAGTGCTGCAATTGCTCTCATGGGCCAGTGCGCTCCTGAGACGTAACGAATTGACTACCTTAGCGCAGATGTGATGTGCTTATATAATATAACCCGGATGTGCTATAGATTAGAATGTCACCTTGATATGATTTGATGTGCTTATAGAATCTTATAGAAGCCACAGATGATTCCAGTTCTATCATGTTCTATGTATTTTTATCTAATTATAGCGAGATTATCACCTTTATGATAAGTTCCTCAAGAATCATATCATGGCCGCCTGGCCTGTGTCATGAAACATGGCCTGGACCATCCGTGATCCGCCGTTAATTTTCGTCATGTTGGTGACTTCCGCCATCTAAAACCTTCATCTATTGATAGTTAATAGAGGTTAATAATGGTCAATAGTGGTTTTTTTAGTGTGAAAAAAGTGGTGAATTTCAGGACTTTCAATTGCCATGTTACTGTCGATGTTGCCATGTTGAGTAGCTGCGTAGCTGAAGAAAGTCCAAACGCCGAAAACAGTCAAAACCCATGGGTTTCCCAGCTATTTTTGTCCATCCTTATTCGACATCTGGGTACATGTTAGTCACTGGATAACTTTTATTATACCACCACGATGGTCTTTATATATATATATATATCATTATGTAGATAATCTATAGATAATATGCCATGATATATATATATATAATATACATATTTGGGTAGGCATTCCAAAACAGCTTGATTTTCCGACTGGATGATTCAAGATGGTGACATATGGGCCTCAGGTGGGACACAATAGTTAGCTAAGTTGGTGTATAAGTTAGGTTAACTAAGGTTTATGGTAGATATAAGATGATATATATAAGTATACTTGACGGACTTTACAAACCATAACTTGTATCTAGGTGGAGCCCACTTTGTATGCCATTTTTGGCAATCTTTTTTTTTTTCCAAATGGTACATCAAGTGGTTCAAAGCACCGGTTGGATTTGCCTTGGAACCCAGGTAGAATGGAAAAACAGAAGCGGGTTGATCCCCAATGCCGTAGATTCGCAGATGTTTAGGGGGAAACCAGCCATGTGAATCTACTCATGGTAAGTTCATCTAGTGCCTTATGGTAAATCATATTAAATCATCTACTTTTCATGGCAATTCGAATCTACTTTTCACGGTAATTCATCTTTCCTGGGCTATCTGCCATAAGATCCATAGCGTCCATGTCTGCGCCGAGGTATGGCGTCGAGCTGCCCGAAGAGGAGGCCGTAAAAATCCTGTTGGAAGATGGGTGGATTTACCATGGTTATGTAAACGTTTACCAGAGGGTATATGATGTATATGTATAACAGGCACATTAAGTGTGTCATCATGTCATCACAATTTCATCGAATTTAGGATGTTTGTTTGCTTGTCGAGAAACAAGTGGGAAGACGTGTTTCTGCGCCGCATAAAATGAAGACGTCGGGATGTTGTGTGTCAATGAGGTTTGCAAGATAGATTTTGGAGAACATGTGACAGGGAAATGTATATGCCAGAGCAGTCTGAGATCTTCAACTGATGACGTTATATGGCTTTATATCATATCAGATTACATATGTTCATTATTTGTGTATGATGATATTATCTTAATCATTCATAATCGGTTTATGAAAATATATGAACATATGATGAATGTCTATGATGTTTCAACATGCTTAGCTTGACTGACATATAGGGAACCATCCCGAAATTGCATGAAATTGCTGGGCCAGCTGTGCGTTTTTCTTTGCTGGGCCATGTACGAAGTGCCAGACGTGAAGATTGTTGGGATCGCAACGCTGACCCGGGGAATAAACGAACTACAGAACAACACTATAGGTTATGGCCTAGAATTCATAATTATTCAAGAACCAGACCTTCAGATAGCAGTTCAACAAAGAATTTCAGCACCCAAGAACAGGTAGATTTCCAGGTTGATCATATTCGTGAACTAGTGAACCGGCACTTTTTTATTGTTGATCTATGTTGATCTACTCATTTTCCATCGGGAAATGGATAAATGGGTCGCCATCTGCCAGCCCTGGTCGTTTTTCGTCAGAATCTCCAGGTCGATCGGATCACATCAATGGAACAAGATCAACAGATTGCAGCCCTGGTCGTAGCCCAAAAAACACATGGCGCATTTTCGCCCTTTTTTTAAGCCCTGCTGAGTTTTGGGAAGATCCCGTAGCTTTCAAAGTCGTAGCTAAGATTTCGCAGAGAGAAAGTCCCTGTTTTTTCTGAGAGGCAACTTGTTATAACATGTTGGCACAAGGGGGCCAGCTTCCCAGACTTTCGGAGGCTTCAAAAAAAGAAATCGGGCCGAGCTCGCCCATGTCTTGGCTGAGGTCAATCGAATGCCCCAGGATTCCAATGAACAGTTTCAGCAGTTCTTTCTCCAGCTTCAGGCAAGGATCCGGGAGGTGTCCATGATTCCATGGAAAAAACGCCATCTAAATGATCCAACTGATGTGTGACCTAAATGATCCAAAAATATCCAAAATGATCCTGAAAAAACTCAAATTTGAACACATCGAGTACCCTCTGGTAATTTAACGTAGCTATTGAAAATGACCATAGAAATAATGGATTTCCCCATTAACAGCTTGGTGATTTTCCAGTTCGTTATGTAAACGTTTACCAGAGGGTATCCTCAATCTTGGAGGGTTCAGAAAATTATGAGCACCGTGGCCGCCACCGGACCGGCCAGTTGCTGGTCTCCACGGCCATGCGGGTGCGGGATGGCTTGGAGGATGGCACCGTGGAGAAGGTGACTGGATGTGACTGGTGACCCTGGGGACCCCTTTGGGATCCATAATATATATAACACCTTTCAACTATATAACTATGGATTATCTATGGATTATCTATGGATTATCTATGGATTATCTATGGATTATCTATGGATTATGATAATATATGGACTAACTATTTGATATAGATATAACTATGTTCTGGTTGGTGGTGACTGGAAAATAGTGATATGAAAATAGTGGTTAATAGGGTATAAATAACTAACAAGAATGGGAATATGATAATGTTCTGGTTGGTGGTTTGGAACATGAGTGGATTATGATTTTTATGATTTTCCCATCATATTGGGAATGGAAAATCATCTCAACTGACTTTAACTCCATCATTTTTTAGAGGGGTAGGGCTCAACCACCAACCAGATGCTTTTCACAATTGTTAGTTACATCTTTTGCTATGGTGAATAAGTTGAGTCCCAAGCTTAATGAAATTCTGCCAAGGCAGGTAAGATTCACCATGATATGGATTGATGATTGGAATCCCAGCCACAAACATGGAATAAACATGGTAAAATTGGGAATGGTTCACTATTGCTTTACTAACACTTTAATATAGTTTTTTTTTTAAAAAAAATATATATATACCAAGATATTTTGAAAACTGATTGGATATACCCATGTATTGAAATCTGGACATGTTTGTTTCGGGAGGAAAAACATGTGATGTGATCAGAAACTCCTTTCCGTGTGGTGTTTTGATGAGACTCTGGAGGCTGCAGTTGAGCTTACAAATGGCTATATATAACTAAGACTTGTTATCAAGGCCCAAACATTGGAATACAACCCTTATACCATCTTATACTGGTACCATTTGGTACCTATGGTTATATATATAATTATATATATACATCTATTATACATCTATCCACTTATATGGTTATAAAGGGTTATATCTCCACTTGTACCTATGGTAATCCTATGGTTATATATCCACTTCTAACTAGAACTACACTTCCAAGATTGAAGCAATCACTGGTTGAGTATGACGTTGCTGGAGGTGGAAAGTGCCTTAGATGACGCTGATAGCACCGGCGTCACTCAGCACATCCTTAGGCCGCTGATGGGCGCTGCCAGTGAATTTAGGGCTATAGCAACACCCAGAATGATAGAAAAATTGATTATCGCTATTTTAGGTTCGGATTGTACTTATTGTATTTTTTCGGGGTTGCTATACCCTATACCATATATATATATATATCATACAAAACATGTTTGGGCACAAAGAAAAAAGGATTCTGAAAAGGTCAGTAGATGAGTAGAGGCACACTTGGCAGCCATGTTTGCTTACTGCGCCTCGCCGAGTGACACATGCGATTGATCTCAATTGAGAGCAGGTCGAACAAGTATGGTGGCATAGTACAACCCCACAGGTTTGTAACTTTTACGTTGATGGCGCATGAATTTACCCAGATTTTTTTTTGTCTTCAAATCCGGCGTATGCAGGATGGTGGGATTTGTGGTTTTCCCCCTTCCCCAGTTTTCCATCGTCATTCCAACCAACTTGGGTACTTGGAGAATCATCTCACCTATTGGTTAGTTTTCTATGGGATAGCTCGACAAGAGGAACTATGACCAAGGCGTAGCCAATTACTGAGTGAGATCAAGGGGTTGTTAACAAATCATACCAATTCATTATTCTGGGCAAATTTGATCACGACCGAACCCTGTTCTCCCTCACCCTGGAATCATGGTAAATAAGGGAGATCATCCCCAAATGGCCGCAAGATTCAGGTTGGATAGGTTGGTGAAATATGATAATTTTCCCAGATTATTCCAATTTCTAAAGCAAATTTTAACACATTCTAACTATGATTAGCCAGTCATTCGGTGAATCTCAGTGCTTAATTTTGATATGTCAGCAGATTTCTCTCAGTCATCTGCCGCGAAAGAGATGCCGTGTCCACTGTGTCCAGGATCGTATAGAATGGTATAGATGATCTTTACTTACCCTCTGGTAAACGTTTACATAACTATGGAAAGATCCACCATGTTCAATGGGTAAATCCACTATAAATGGGCCATGTTCAATACCTATGTTAAATTACCAGAGGGTAATTTCCAGGGTTCCAACCTTTTTTTGCATCGTCCTGGGGATTGTTTTTTTTCAACATCTTCAGTGTTAACACTTTGACAGATTTTCAAAACATATTCAATATTCATCTCAATATATAAACCATATATATATTATAATATATTATAATTATACACATTAAACAAAAAAACACCGCAAAAGATGAAACTGGTTTAATTTGAGATAATATACAACAATTTGGATTCATATTTTGCAACCTTCTATCCTTTTGGGTTACAGATAGTCCCGACCTAGAAAGCATATAATGAACTTGGTAACTTGGTAACTTGATAATTATTATATGAAATTTGGGGGTTACATGGTTCGTTCATTCTATTAAATGTATAATGAACACTTTTAACTACAACTATAAGAAATAAACGCGTATAGTCTAGTTCTTAGAATAAACTATAACTATATCTATACCTATAATTACCCTCCAGTAAATCAACATAGACCCTGGCAGATAGGGGTTGGAAGACTAGTTTTGATTAAAAATGGGTGATTTTCAGGGTCCAACTGTTAATTTACCAGGGGGTATCATATATACCAAATTTACCATCATATAAGTGTATCATATACCTATAAACTATAACGTTAATATCTCTATACCTATATTATATATATAGGTATATCATGATCCATATTTATAAATGACATATATATGGTTATTCATATTCCTATAAATGACATATACTGTATACCATATATGGTTATATCATATATAAATGACCATTTTCCAGTTCGCAAACTGTAAACGTTTCCCAGAGGGAAAGTCTATGATCCCAGTGGGTCGTCAGGATGGCCATGGTCCAAGCGGGCAACGAGGTGACCGGCCACCGACGTTCACATGACATGGGGATTTCATTGGGGATTTCATGGTGGATCTATACCTGGGATATATCTTGGGAAAATGGTGGATCTATACCTGGGATATCCTGGGATATATCAACTACTTATGGTTAATTTGTTTTAGTGATAAATCACTGGGATTAATATGGTGGATATATATATATATATAATCTGGATATAGAATCTGGGTACTGGGATTAATATGGTGGGTATATATATATACATAATCTGGATATCACGGCTATGTAAGCAGTGACTGCTCAAGGTGATCTACACAAATGACCTGAGGTTGATCTGATCCGATGCAGTGATCTGAAGCAATGTATTTGAAACAATGGGGCAATGGGGAGTTACACGTCCTACTAAAACAAGTGTTGGCAAACCAAGAAGTCCGGTGCATTTTTGTTGGCGAATGGTTCGACTCAAGGATGGTGTTGTTTTTCTGTTCAAGAATGAAAGGACGGATCTGCATAAACCTTGTCGATGAGCGGATGATTATCTGTGACTAGCCGCTACTTGTAGCTACGGACATCAGATTGAGAGCCTCAGCAGAACAAAGAGTTGAGTAAACACGAGTTGCCCTTCCAACCAAAAATGAGAGTTTCACTGGATTTGAAACATCCATATGATATGGGTGATGAATGATAACGACCTCTGCAATGTCACTAGAATGATGGTTTGGATACTCTCCCAAAATGACGTAACATGTCATAGTTATTTCACATATATAATGTAGCTATTGAAAATCACCATGTTTAATAGGTAAATATAGGTATAAATCATCCATAGATGGAGCATTTTCCAGAGGCTATTGAAATTTCTTCAGATCCCTTCCCTGAATTCCCCAGCACTTCCAGTGCCAGGCCACTTTGCAGAGGCAAGAATACGAGGTGTGGGAATCATGGCGAGATGTGGGAATGGTCCTCGGACCACTATGGTAGTATCCATACAATAGTGGCTTGGAACATGACTTTCATTTTTCCATTCAGTTGGGAATGTCATCATCCCAACTCACTACTACTTTTCAGAGGGGTAGGTATACCACCAACCAGATATGGATTCTGTTTCTAACTACTCTAATAATCTATAGAAATGACACGAAATGACCCATCGTTCGAACGGAAAAACCAGCCTGAAATATATGCCTTTTTCGAAGACCTAAAAGGTCCAATGCAAAGGACCCAATTTCTAGCCATTTCCAGACGACGAAAAAAAGAGACACATCTGAATTTTTCATGGGAGTATGAACATATATGAAAATGAGGTCCCCATTTGGGACACACCGATTGGTTTCTCTCAGTTTGCTATCAATGGTGACATGTACTAAAACATATTAAAACCAGATATAAGAAGGCAACATACATATATTCTGGTTGGTGGTTTGGAACATGTTTTGTTCTTCCTTATATTGGGAAGAATCATCCCAACTGACTTTCATATTTTTTAGGGGTAGGTATACCACCAAGCAGTTTTTTTTTTTGGCGGGTATCCAAGATTCACCATGGATGAAGAATCATGGAGAAACAAACGGCTTCCCATGACCCCGGTCTGGGGGATTCCAGGTGCTGATAGGACTCACAACAACGACGCACGACATCACCATGGATTATGGTTAGTCAAGTGAAGCATCCAAGTCACCTCATTTCAGGTGTGTAAATTACAATAAATTATTAGATAAGTCATGAGTATCATTTGTTATACCCTTTTGGTAACGTGGCAACCAACAATCCCCAAGTTCGTTTGATGATTTTCCAGGCGAGCAAAACCTCCATGGCTCGTTCGGGGATTTAACATGTGTTCACCGCCATCCCACTTGTATCCCATTTGGGATACCCTCTGGTAATGACTAACAGTTTGCTATTGAAAAATACCATAGCTAGATATAGCTAGTTGGTTGATGTTGGTTGATTTACCTATGAAAAATGTACCTTTTGGGACCTAGCCAGGCCTGGGTCCGAGAGACGGACGAACAGATGGCCAGACTCATTCGTGGTCAGGAGCCAGGGCGGTTTCAGGGTTGATCCCTGATGGTGAAGCGATCGGAAAAACAAATATGACAGGTATTTTCAAAATTTCCTTAGAAAATGAACGTGAAAGAGTGTATGTGGAAGCTGTACACGCCTGGCAACAACTATGTTTAACTATCTGACTATCTTTTTATAGACTATATATTGATATATATATATATATATATTGATATGTAACTATTATTTATCATAACATAACTATAGTAGCCCACTATAGCAACAATTCATCAAGCTAACAATATCTCGGGGGAACGACCCCCGGCGAAGAAACGACGGAGAGCCTCCAGGGATTGGAGAAAGCTCTTCCAGTCAGAGACAATGCGAGATGTGTACTGGGGCTGCTTGTGTCATATAGATATATAATGATATATCATTATATACATATATTATATTATACATATATTATATATATGTATATATATTATTATTATATATATATCATTATATATATATATGAGTCTGAGTACCCCTAATATATGGAAGTTGATCTACAGAGGTCCCTGTAGGGATTCTTTACTACAAAGGCCGTCGGTGTTAGAACATGAGACCACGCGAACTATTTTTTCTGCGTTCGCGATTTTTTTTTTTTAACATTATTGGGCGAATGATATGGCGAAAGTTTGTTTCGATGAGGTGGTTGATTAATTGTTTGAAGTGAGAAACCAACTGAATTGTGAATGGCAGGAATGGAATAGATAGATAAACATATAGATAGATAGATAGATGGATCGATAGATAGATAGATAGACAGATAGATAGATAGATAGATATAGATAGATAGATAGATAGATACATAGATAGATAGAGAGATAGATAGAGAGATAGATAGATAGACAGACAGACAGACAGATAGATATATAGATACTGTAGATTCATAGACAAATAGAGAGATGGATAGAGATAGAGAAAGAGAGAGAGAGAGAGGGATGGATGGATGGATGGATGGATAGATAGATAGATAGAGAAGAGAGAGAAGAGAAGAGAAGAGTAGATTAGATAGATAGATAGATAGAGGTACAGAGAGAGAGATATAGAGAGATAGGGAGATAGAGAGATAGAGGGTTCGATAGACAGACAGACAGACAGACAGACAGATCGATAGACAGACACACAGACAGATGGATGGATAGATAGATAGATAGATACATATTTAAATTGTATATAAATTATATATATATATTTATACGCATAAATGCATATATATATATATATACATATACATACATATAGCTATAATACCAATTTCATGTTTTCGTGCTTTTTTCGCGGTCTGAAAACCCCATTCTCCTTGGGGAAGCTACAGCGTCTGCGGATGTACAAGCTGAGGCCCAGTGATTTTTTTTGCTTCTAAACCATGAACTGTAGTGACTATAGTATGCTATAGTATACTATAGTTATATCACTTGACATTTTAGTTATACCCAACAACAAATGGGGTTGATAACAAAAACCATCGTTTTTTTTATACCATCCATGTGGAGTACAGAAACTTTTTTTTCTCACCCAGTTAAAAACGATCCCCCGGGATATGTCGTGATTTCTGGAGGAAGACGCCATGGCAGCCAAGAAGAAATTGGCCACCTTGCAGGTGCGTTATGTTGCCAGATTGTCAGCAGCAAAGATTTTTGGGAAAGTGATGATTAATAAGTATATATATATGTGTTAGGTATAGGGGATTACGATTATAACATATGATTATAACTACTATCACTACGTATTAATTGAGGATGTTCACGGATACATTCAAGGTTTGAAGCAGCAACAGTGGGGGTTTCATCCGGAAATTCATGATGAAAAATAGGCATATTAAAAAAAAAAAAAAAACATAAATGGCCTTTTCGTAACGAAACATGGCAGTAAAAAACACCAGTTACATCGCCGACAGATTTTTTGGTGAGGATCCCAGCCGCCCATTTCTCACCTTGAGGCGGACTACCAATATGAGCGGCATGTTAATCATGTTAAAACATATCCCAAATATTGAGGTATAATATAATATATATATATATATTATATGCAGTTATATATATAGTATATATATAGTATATATATAGTATATATATAGTATATATATATAGTATATATATATGTATCCCAATGATTGCTGTGTCGGGCATATCAGTATATCCTATTTGTGTCCCTTATCTACAGAGTTACGAGAACGTGATGTGTGTATTTGTGCAAAATAAGATACAGTAAGTATATATATATATACATACATGAAAATGACAATGTGATTCTCGATGTGACAAATGTGATGATCTTAAGAAATTCTGGGTGGAATCCATCACTTTTCGTAGGTAAAAGCCACTGACCTTCAACCATTTTCGAAGAGCGCATCCGTTGCGCATTTGTTTAGGCGCGGCTGCAGCACGACCGTGACGAGCACGCCGAAAAAGCCAGCAAGGCTTCGGGAGGGACGTGGGTGCATGGCCCCTTCGGAGGGTTAGGTTGGGCACAGCACCTGATGGCTGGTGAAATTGGATGAATCTGCTGTTCTAGCTGATGTTCATGGCAAATGATACAAATGACGGCAAATGGAGAAATAAATTCAAATAATTTTCGCTCTCTCTGTCTCTCTACTCTCTCTCTATATATATAATGTATACATAGATATAAAGATATATATATTATTTCAAAACAATAGATTCTGAAACAGTGGATGGAGGTTGGATGAAATTCTCCAGCTTGGCCGGGAGGTGGTGAGCGAAAGGGACAGAAATGGCGCTCTGTCTGAAACTCGTCTAGCCATGGCTCCCCCTAATTTTCAAGAATCTATATTCATGGTAAAATCAGATCTTTTTTAGAATCAGATCTAATCTATCTAGCTATAGTCTATCAATCAGATCTTTTTATGCTAAACTTATATATAACTATAGCCCATTCTGAAGGACAGAAATGTCGATCTTATCCATGCATGGAGTTTTCCTAAGTCATGGAGGGTACCCCCATTTTTCATCTTCACAGAATCTTCAATAAAACATACCATCCAACTATTGGGTAGTTTTCCCCATTTTCGGAAGCTTAAAAAACCTCCAGAAAGGTGAGTCAGTTCACTATTTGTGACCAGGTGTGTATGAACTTCGTGACCAACTCCGCGAACTCAGCGAAAAATGCATGTCTGGATGCCATAAAGGGTTGCAAAAAATGGATTAGATACCCCCAGTGATGGCAATTTTACATGATCAACCGTCAAAGATTTGTTATATTTGTTGGGGTGTTGTCCTAAGTGTTCAGACTTCGTTGAAGTCTATCGAAATGTGCTGAAATATGTCGATGATATTTCTATCATATCCACATTTGGTGATTATTAATGAATATTAATGGTGTATTCAATATCTGTATAAATGTTCCCTATATTTTTACGATCGACTGGTAGGACTGTTCAAGATGTTGCTGATAGACGGGATGAGGAAGTTCCAACCCGGATTTTTTGGTCATGTTTGGGCTGTTGATCATGGCGAGTAGCATCGGAAAAAAAAAGTAGATGAAATCGCTGTTGGCATTTTATCCTAATGAACCTGGCTTTATGAATTCAGCTTTGACATGGCAGAAAAACAGGGACCAATCTGTGAACCTGCTGGCTAAGCTCTATGATTTGGTCAGAGTTTTCATCGCTTGGCTCGACTGGAAAACTGGGACTGGGCTGATGCTTTTCCGTCCCAAACATCCCGGTGCTTCTTGCTGAAAGGTTAAGCACTGTGTGAAAAACTCCATATATTTTCTGAAAATAGCATTATTGATGCTATTTAAAAACAAGATATATAACCAAATAGTTTTGCCATGATTGTTGTTGCAAAAATACACCTCAGCATGATGGCTGAACACCTCAAGGGCGTTCTAAGCCTCTTTCAGCCGACAGGCGGTGAGGCCCAGTGATGTTTTTTCGGGGACCGATGCTGATACCATGCCGATACCATAAAGCATATATGATGAATTGTCAATGAGTGATTAGGAAAAAAAACTGGTTATTGACAATCATTAATTCTAATCAAGCATTGATGATATTAAGTATTGATTATTAACTGTTGATAATAGTAATTGAATGTAAATGAACTATTGATTATCATACTCTTAAAAACATATTTTAGTTGTTATATAACAATACATGATTTTACTATTAGGGGTGTTATTTTTTACTAGTAAATATAGAATAATATAGTATGATGATCAATATATATATATATATGGTGGTTTCCTGAAATAGGGGTACCCCCAAATCATCCATGTTGATGGGATTTTCCACTATAACCCATCCAGCTTTTGGGATACCACCATTTATGGAAGCCCACATATAGGCCCATATGTAAAATATATAATGATAATAGTATATAATAATAGTAATTATAATAGTAATAATACTAGTAATTATAATCGTAATAATATTATACTACTACTACTAATTACTACTACTACTACTGCTGCTGCTGCTACTACTACTACTACTAGTACTACTACTACTACTACTGCTACTACTACTACTACTACCACTACTACTACTACTACTATACTACTACTACTACTACGACTACTACTACTACTAGTACTACTACTACTACTACTACTACTACTAGTACTACTACTACTACTACTGCTACTACTACTACTACTAGTACTACTACTACTACTACTACTAGTACTACTACTACTACTACTAGTACTACTACTACTACTAGTACTACTACTACTACTACTACTGCTACTACTACTACTACTTCCACTACTAGTACTACTACTACTAGTACTACTACTACTACTACTACTAATAACTAATTACTACTACTACTACTACTACTACTACTACTACTAGTACTAGTACTAGTACTACTAGTACTAGTACTAGTACTACTAGTATTACTAGTACTACTAGTACTACTAGTACTACTAGTACTACTAGTACTACTAGTACTACTAGTACTACTAGTACTACTAGTACTACTAGTACTACTACTACTACTACTTACTACTAGTACTTACTACTAGTACTAGTACTAGTACTAGTACTAGTACTAGTACTACTACTACTACTACTTACTACTAGTACTTACTACTAGTACTAGTACTAGTACTAGTACTAGTACTACTACTACTACTACTACCACAACAAAAAACTAGTAGTACTACTACTACTACTAGTACTACTACTACTACTGCTACTACTACTACTAGTACTAGTACTAGTACTAGTACTACTACTACTACTACTACTAATAACTAATTACTACTACTACTGCTGCTGCTGCTACTACTACTACTAGTACTAGTACTAGTACTAGTACTACTAGTACTACTACTACTACTACTACTAGTACTACTAGTACTACTAGTACTACTACTACTACTACTACTAGTACTACTACTACTACTACTACTACTACTACTAGTACTACTACTACTACTAATAACTAATTACTACTACTACTACTGCTGCTGCTACTACTACTACTACTAATAACTAATTACTACTACTGCTACTGCTGCTGCTACTACTACTACTACTAATTACTACTACTACTACTGCTGCTGCTACTACTACTACTACTAGTACTACTACTACTAGTAGTAGTAGTAGTAATAATAATAATATGTACTAATAAATATAGAAAAATTCATACAATAAGATCAATACCCTTCATCTTGTGAATAAAGAAACATCTTGGTGCAGCCCAGGTTTTCAGGGCTGGGCATCCTGGGCCAAGCGCGCCAAACAGGTGCAGCCCGTGTGGACGAAACCATGGCTTTGCCGTCAACGTTTACCGTAGGATCTGGGAAAACCTACGTTTTTTTGAAGCGAAATCCGTGGAAATCGAATCTATAAATGGTTGAGGAACTCCATGATTGTTCCACATCGATGTTAGTTTCGCCTAGGGTAACCTCCACGTCGGCTGGAAGTCTATTTGCGAGATATCATATATATATATAATTAATCTAAATTTGGGCTGTTTAAATCCCATGTCATTTCCTTAAGTTTAACAAAATATTGGCCAAACAAGTACCATGGTATAGTCCTATTGTCACGATGGTCCACGTTCTCCAGCCCCATCTTTGATGGTCGAAAAATCCGACAGCGGAGATGGGATCGGGCGCAAGATCACTTCCTTGGAGCTCCTGGGCGCCCAGTGACTAGAAATGATGATAGGTATCTGAATTGACCATTGGAACCTGAATTGGAACCTGGAGCTACTCCCATAAAGTGTCGGGATGTAAGGGCTATGTTAAGGGATATACCCGCAAATCTATAGCTTTAGATGGAAGAATACCTCCAGTTCACCTGGCCATTGAACCAAGCCGTGTACCGGTCATGTGTTAACGTGCCAAGCTGGAAAATCCCCCAGGATGGATGGACGTTGAAACGGGGAATATCCAGTGCCATGTTTTGTTACCGGAGAGCGTATATATATATATATATTAATTAATATATTATATATTAAATTATATATATGTTATTATATATATATGATAGTATATATATTATAGTGTATATATTGTATTATTATATATATAATATTTTATTTATTATGTTATATATATATATATATATGTTAAATTTTATATGTTATGTTATATATATTATGTTTTATTATATATATATATATGTTATTATATTTAAATATATACAAATATGATAGTATATGTATATTATAGTGTATATATTTTATTATTATATATTTAATATTTTATTGATTATGTTATATATATTTGTTATATTATATATGTTATGTTATATATTTTATGTTATATTTTATATATGTTATTTTATATTTATATATATATATAAATATATATAAATATGATAGTTTATATATATATAATAGTGTATATATTTTATTATTATATATAATATTTTATTTGTTATGTATATATGTTATATTATATGTGTTATGTTATATATATTTTATGCTATATTATATATATGTTATTATTTATATATATATATAATATGTCATTTTTTATGTTATATATATATGTGTGTGTTATGTTATATATGTTATGTTATATATATTATATGTTGTATGATATATATATATTATATTATATTGATTATATATATATTATATTAGATATGCTATAATATTTATATTTCAACTAGATTGTAGTTTTTTATTATAATACATATTATATTATATTATATTATATTTATATTTTTTTATTTATTAGATTATATTTACATATGTTTTATTTTATGTTATACATCATATTTTATATATACATTTTAATATATTCTATAATATATATATATATATTATTATATATATATTATAATAACACAATATATATATATTATAATATATTATAACTTTATGTTTTTATATATTCTATTATATGTCATATTATATAAATATATATATATATATACATTGTAATATATATATATATATAATTTTCACATGTACATTATATATATTTATACATACACTGTACAACTCTATAGCCGTTCCATATATAATGTACATGTATATAATTATTGAAGATGACTGCCGGGTATTCCCCAAAGCAGATGAGTTTTTCAAAATGTCGGTGTGTTGTCCCATCCCAAATAACAAACTCACAAGCACATTACCATCAATGATGGTCAGTGAGGCAAAATTACATTGTTCATTGAAATGTTTGTGGGTACGGTCTAAGTCAGATACAGGTTTCTTTTTTTGTGAGTGGTGTTTCACAGCAAATATCGTCATTCCAGACTATCCCATAATCTAAATAAATCTACATAATACATCATCATAGCTGTATACAGTAATCCCCATTCCTTTTGCATGGTTTTGTGAAAATCATTCCCAGATGATAAAGTTGGGTATGGCTTCTGGTTTAAGCATTCCCACATCACTGATGGGGGGCAGCTGGCGGCTGTCCAGCCTTAGTGGGGATTGCCCTTGACAGATTTGGGTTGCGCAAGTTGAATCAATTTTGACTATGTATCTATATATATGTATATATATACATTAGCTATTGAAAATGGCCATTTATAGCGGATTTACCCATTAAAAATTGTGATTTTCCATAGTTATTTTAGTTTACCAGAGGGTACATACTATATACATTTGTATGTATAGCCATACAGCGATGCCTTCTGATATCCTTGTTCGCAGATGGCCGACAGGAGGTGTAGCAAGACATGATTTTTTATTTACGGTGCATTTTCTTCAACGAGGACCACCAAAGTTTATGGTCCAGATGAACGACACACAGAAACGGGGCATCGAAGGGGCCCGAAAATGTCAGAAATGACACCGATTAGCAACACCCAGAAACATAGGAAGTGACATCCTACGACAATATTTCTAAATTGTTTGCTGTCTCTTTTTGAGATTGCTACTCAAGACATTAACATACATTAAATACTTCAAGTATGGCATATATTTTTATTCTAGATATTTCTAGATTATATAAAACCACCCAGATATTTCTATCCCAGAATAATTAGATATTTCTGAAATCTAACGACAATAGTTCCCATATAGAATATAAAACCACCCAATATTTTTCGGACAAACTCATGACCGAGACGTCGACAGCTAAAGCGCCAAAAATCAGGAGGGTGCCATTGCTAAGGACTACGAGGAGTTCCAGCACTGGGGGAGAGGTTGGATACATATATATATATATATTTACCTGGAGTAGATGGAGATTAGATGGAGCAGATAATTAATGGGATATTTATCTATTTATCTATTTATTTGTTTATTTGTTTATTTATTTATGTATGTATTTATTTATATGATATACCAATATCGGAAAAACAGATGAACCACAGGATTGGGTTAGGGGTGTTCCCCTATATTGGACCAAACGCGTTTGGCAGCTGAAACAACATCATTTGCGTATGGCTGATAAATATTTGAATCAAGTGGAAGCGAAGGGGGAACTCAGCATGAAGCAACTTGGTGTTTTCCCTATCTTGACGGGGAAAACCAATGGTGGTCTCTCCCCAAGCTTTCAGAAGGAAGTTTTCACTGGGGAAACTTTGGGAGTTTAGCACTTTAAATCCTTTGCCATTTTCATGGGGATATCATGTTTGACCATGTTTGACCTATGTGATGTCAAGGAGTACACTGACTACACAACTTATTGGATCACCTGCATTTTGATTCAGATTTCACCTGGCCAACCGGCCGAGTTCACGTTCACGTCACCCAGGACCGCTTGGAGCGAATCCACCACAGACTAAGCTCCTACAGGCGCCTCTGGAGTTCGATGATTTGACCTGACAGCTCCATGTTTGTTGGGGATTTAACCATATTTAACCTTTGGATCCATCATTGGAAACTCCATGATTTTCCCATTGATTCTAAATGCCCATGTCAATTTAGGGATTTCCCAGCCATGCTTGCCGGAGAATATGAGGACATCTGTCAAGGATGTTTGATTTTTTTTGCAGCGATCTGAAAACGAGTAGCTCGATGATGGTGAAAACTGAAAAAAATCGCAACTTTTCGGCGGCTTGTGGGAAAATCAGTTTACAACCTCACATGTTCAGATGGGTTCCAAGATACTTTTCAGAAAAGTTCTTGCCGCTCTTGCCCTCTTTAACTATTTGCATCAACGATTCAATGACTGAGCCCCAAACATAGCGAACTAAACTTAGCATGTATTACAAGCAAAAATCTGGGCTGAGCCATCAGCTGTTGCCCAAACACAATGTTCTCATGGGTTATCTATGGGTCGAAGTAACCTTGGATAAACCCCATAAGTTGGAATATATTATAAATAATATGTTATATATAATATATTATGTATACATAAATAATTATATATATAGGTGTGCTACATGATATATATATATACATGCACATGATAATATTATGTATGTATAATATACATCTATCAAATAATATATTATGTATACATACATACATACATTACATTCATTACATTCATACATACATACATACAGACAGCCAGGCAGGCAGACAGACAGCCAGGCAGGCAGACAGATAGACATACATACATACCATACATTACATTACATTACATTACATACATTACATACATTACATACATACATACCTACCTACCTACCTACCTACCTACGTACGTACGTACGTACGTACATACATACATACATACATAACATACATAACATACACAACATACATAACATACACAACATACATAACATACATAACATACATTACATTACATAACATTACATAACATTACACATTACATTACATACATACATTACATACATACATTACATACATTACATACATTACATACATTACATACATTACATACATTACATACATTACATACATTACATACATACATACATACGTACGTACGTACGTACGTACGTACGTACATACATACATACATACATACTACATACGTATACGTATACGTATATACGTATACGTACGTATACGTATACATACGTATACGTATACGTGTACGTACGTACATTACATACATACAATACATACATACATTACATACATACATTACATACATACATTACATACATTACATACATACCTACATACATACATACAGACAGCCAGGCAGGCAGACAGACATACAGACATACAGACATACATACAGACAGCCAGGCAGGCAGACAGATAGACATACATACATTACATTACATTACATTACATTACATACATTACATACATTACATACATTACATACATTACATTTACATACATTACATACATACATACATACATACATTACAGTACATTACATTACATTACATTTCATTACATTACATACATACATACGCTACATACATACGTTACATACATTACATACATACCTACATACATACATACAGACAGCCAGGCAGGCAGACAGACATACAGACATACATACAGACAGCCAGGCAGGCAGACAGATAGACATACATACATACATACATACATCCATCCATGCATGCATGCATACATACGTATAGACAGCCAGGCAGGCAGACAGATATACATACATACAGACAGCCAGGCAGGCGGACAGAAATACATCCATGCATGCATGCATACATACAGACAGCCAAGCAGACATACATACATACAGACAGCCAGGCAGGCAGACAGACATACATACATCCATGCACAGCCAGGCAGGCAGGCAGACAGACAGACAGACATACATATATATATATATATACATGATAATATTATGTATGTATAATATACGTGTATCATATATTATGTATACATACATACATACGTACGTACGTACGTACGTACATAGATAGATAGATAGATAAATAGATAGATACATAGATACATAGATACATAGATACATAGATAGATAGATAGATAGATAGATAGATAGATAGATACATACATACGTACATACATACATACGTACATACCTACCTACCTACATACATACATACAGACAGGCAGACAGGCAGGCAGGCAGGCAGACATACATACATATATATATATAAAACCCCTACACCAATGCTTGTTTTTCACCACCCAGACATGGAACTGCAGCCTCGTTCCAGCGCAAGGCAGTCGTCGTTAGCCAGCATGCGCAGTATCTTAGACCGGAAGGTCCTCTCCGTTCCGATTTCCACCGGCTTGGGGGAGAACTCTGACCCGGGGAGGACTAGGCTAATACCACCAGGGAACGACAGGACTTGGCTGTTGAAGTATTTATCAAAGGAAATGGTAGAGTTACTGGGGTTAAGAAAGAATAACTTCCATGGAGGGGGAACAACATTTGCTACATGAAGCATTCTGAAAGAAAATGTGAACATGTGCACAAGATGTGTAAAACGGTCATTCTCCCTGTGAGGTTTCATCAGCCATCTTTTCATGCTTAAATCATGTGCATTCATATATGACCATATATATATATACACAGTAAAGTATTTTTACATGCATTTGTCCCTGTTGATGATTAAAAACTCGGTAAGAGAGAGAAAGAGAGACAGAACCACATCAACCATTGTCTCTGCTATTTTCATTGTGTTTTTTGCCGTTGCTCTCAGCTTGAGCTTTGTTGGGGCCATGACAGGTATCCTCATAGTCACCGTAAGTTTTGGCAACCTAAACATAGAGAACATTAGATGACAGGAGTCCTCATATTCTGCATTTTGGGCAACTAAACACAATCATCACTTGTTGATCGTCAAATAAGATGGATAGTGGGCTTTTGCAAGGAAATAGAAGGCACACAGTTAGACATGTTTTTTGCTTGTTTATGTGGATTAGCCATGCTTCTCATCTCATTGACTGACTGGTGCGTTTTACGCAGGGAATTTTCGGGAATGATCCACTGGCTAACTATCAATAATCATCCAATCGCAACCCCCAGCAAGCCATCCATTCCCTGACTAAAACGCAGCACAGCTCCCAAGGTCAAGATTTTGGACCCGCAGAGTTGACGGTTGATGGGACTAACAGATTGGTAGTTTGGAAGATTTGGATTAATTATATGGTTAATATATGGAAATACATGGTTAATATATGGACTTTTATGACTTTCCCATCATATTGGGAATGTCATCATCCCAACTGGCGAACTCCATCATTTTTCAGAGGGGTAGGTATACCATCAACCAGTTAATATTAACATAACCATCCAATTTTAGGGGTATCGAGTTTTGACCCATAGCCACAGGGCCAATTTTTCCCGTCGTGACGTTTGATGGTAATTTTGGCAGGCGAGAGCCAAAATTACCGAGTTGATGGGGGAGGTGTTGAAGCTTTGGCGCCTTAGCCGCATTTTCGTCGTCGTATGAGATCCACACATTGAAAAAAGGGGTAGAACCAATATGACAATAAGATGAGATAACATGTTAGAATTCTGATTGCAACGTGTTTCATACCACGTGATATATAAAAACAACTATATTCCTATGATATCTACCATGATAGTTATATTTACATATACCATGATCAAATATTGGTATTATCATTAAGAATCAAATAATAACCATGATAGACTATGATAGTTAAACTATAATTCCTGGTATATCATATTACGTGATTTAATGAGTTATTTTTCATAGTTACCATAATCTTGACCATGATATTTACCATGATGTTTGCCATGATACTTACCATTATAGTCCAAACTTACCATCATACCATCATACACCATGATAGTTATATAATGTTATAATGTTGCGTCTGATTAGTGTGAGGGCCCCCCCCTCAAACTAATTTAGTCTACTGAATAATTCGCAGTTTTTTTCCGCCCCCCCCCCTCAACATTTTTTTTGGATAGTCAACTTAAGGATTTCAATTGAAATCAGTTTACTTTCAATTGATTTCAATTTACTTTCAATTGAAATCAGTTTACTTTCAATTGATGTTCAATTGATTTCAGTTTACTTTTAATTGATTTCAATTTACTTTCGAGGGTTTTGTTTTTTTTCAACCCCAAACAGATCTTGGGCACAATAGAGTACCATCCAAACATTTATATTATTGAGTAACTGAGCCACTCATGAGGTACCCCCTTGAAAAATTGTTTGGATGCTGTTTTTTAATAAGGGTTTAATAAGGCATCTAATTATTTGGAAAACCTTGCAGTTTAAAGCTTTAACACAAATATGGCTTTCTAAAGTAAATGGACCAGCTTTACTCAAAGAAAGGTGGAGAAGGTTTTTGATTTTTTTCAACCCCAAAAGTTGTTGGGCACAATAGAGTACCATCCAAACATTCATATTATTGAGCAACTGAGCCACTCATGAGGTACCCCCTTGAAAAATTGTCTGGATGCTGTTTTTTAATAAGGGTTTAATAAGGCATCTAATTCTTTGGAAAACCTTGCAGTTTAAAGCTTTAACACAAATATGGCTTTCAAAAGTAAATGGACCAGCTTTACTCGAAGAAAGGTGGAGAATGTTTTTTATTTTTTTTCAACCCCAAAAGTTGTTGGGAACAATAGAGTACCATCCAAACATTCATATTATTGAGTAACTGAGCCACTCATGAGGTACCCCCTTGAAAATTTGTTTGGATGCTGTTTTTTTAATAAGGGTTTAATAAGGCATCTAATTCTTTGGAAAACCTTGCATTTTAAAGCTTTAACACACATATGGCTTTCTAAAGTAAATGGACCAGCTTTACTCAAAGAAAGGTGGAGAAGGTTTTTGATTTTTTTTCAACCCCAAAAGTTGTTGGGCACAATAGAGTACGATCCAAACATTCATATTATTGAGTAACTGAGCCACTCATGAGGTACCCCATTGAAAATTTGTTTGGATGCTGTTTTTTTAAATAAGGGTTTAATAAGGCATCTAATTATTTGGAAAACCTTGCAGTTTAAAGCTTTAACACAAATACGGCTTTCTAAAGTAAATGGACCAGCTTTACTCAAAGAAAGGTGGAGAAGGTTTTTGATTTTTTTCAACCCCAAAAGTTGTTGGGCACAATAGAGTACCATCCAAACATTCATATTATTGAGTAACTGAGCCACTCATGAGGTACCCCCTTGAAAAATTGTTTGGATGCTGTTTTTTGAAAAGGGTTTAATAAGGCATCTAATTCTTTGGAAAACCTTGCAGTTTAAAGCTTTAACACAAATATGGCTTTCTAAAGTAAATGGACCAGCTTTACTCAAAGAAAGGTGGAGAAGGTTTTTGATTTTTTTCAACCCCAAAAGTTGTTGGGAACAATAGAGTACCATCCAAACATTCATATTATTGAGTAACTGAGCCACTCATGAGGTACCCCCTTGAAAAATTGTTTGGATGCTGTTTTTTTTATAAGGGTTCAATAAGGCATCTAATTATTTGGAAAACCTTGCATTTGAAAGCTTTAATTCGAAAAAAAATAAAATGAAAAAAACTGAAAAACCTTTTTAATTAAGTTTTAAAAAAAAATCAAAAAATAGGAAACTATTTCAAAACAAAACAAAAAATGTGAATCAAAAAAAATGCAAAAAAAAACAAAAAAATCTGAAAAACAACTTGCCACAATAGAGGCCCCCCCCCAAACATCATGGAACTGAATAAGGAGGAAAACAAATGCCACAATAGGGTACCATCCTACTAATCGGGTGCCAACATTATTATTACATATAAGATAGATAGTTATATATATATTATCTATATATATACATATAAGATGGTATATATATATATATCATATAACCATGTATAACCATATAATCATGGTAGTTATATAATGTTATATTATTTCATATTAGACATATAGTTATATATATATATATTATATTAGATTGTATAAATCACATAACCATGTATAACCATATAATCATGATAGTTATATAATGTTACATTATTACATATAAGATAGATAGCTATAAATATATATATATATATAAGATGGTATATATCATATAAACATGTATAACCATGTAATCATGATAGTTGTATACCACGATAGTTATTTAATGTTATAAAATTATAATACCATTATATAGGATCTAATATGTAATACAATGATAGTATTATACTAATATATACCATATGTAATATACAATGATAATATTATACATATTAGATCCTATTACCATTGTATTTATACCATTATCCAGCTCCAGTAGACGTAGAGTTCACCATTTGTAGATCGGGCTTTCCAGAACAGCAACGGCTGAAACAGCATTGGAATACAACTAAGAACATCCAAGAACCATTAGGTGTATATATTATATATATAATTATAATTATATATACTGATTGTTTTTGTATATATTGGTAACCCCAACTCCAATAACATGATAACCATCCAATCACATGGTTTACCCCAACTCCAAACATCGCCGATACGGCCGGCGCCCAGGCAACACGTCCTCGACGAGAGGAAAGAGAGCGACGCCTTGTCGGAGCAGGTGAGGTGGCGCTGGGTGATTGCGAAATCCCGCACCACCGTGGTTGAAACCCTATGAAAAAATGGGAAAAAATTGGGGATGTAGAAACCACCGTTTCCAACTGGGGATTTCGCAACCATCCACAGTTTTTGGTGTTTTTTTTTTTCGTAAATGGGGTTTAAGCATGAAAAATGGTGGTCGAATATGGTTTTATACTTGGATTTAACCAGTCAACATGATGGTGATATTATGTGAAATTCATAGGGTTATCATGATTTAACAAGTTTTAAAAAATGTGACCTAAACTAACTATGAGAAGTTGGATTAACCCATCGGGGTTGATCAGTCCATTTTCATAGCTGTCCAGGTCGATGTTGATGGAGCTTCGCCTTGTTGAAACCCTTCAGACCCCGATATTGCGTGGTGTTAGGTTTTAAAGAGATAGAGACAGGGTTCACACAAACCACCCTCCGGTAAACTACGATAACATACGATAACTATGGAAAACCACCATCTTTATTAGGTATATCAACTATCAACGGCAATTTTCAATAATAGTTTTAACTGTTTACCAGAGAGTAGACATCTCAAAAATGGGCCAAAAAGTAGCTAGCATCAGGTCCAAGATGCTGCTTCCCCAGTTCAGTGGTTTGGGGGCCTTGATGGCTCAAGTCTGGGTATTTGAAAACAGAAAGTCTTTCTCGAGCACACCCGCTTAGCCGCTTTGCTGGTGTGCCATGGCTGCACAAAAAGTCAGTGGTTTCTACCGAAAAAACTTGGTATTTGGGGTCACAACCATATCCTCTGCGGTTGATATAGTTGGTTTCACCATAGTACTGATAGTACTGCAGTTTGGGGTGATGGGGTGAAACTGTCAACCATTTGTGAACTATTGGCTTCGATCACTATGGAATCTATGGAAAACCCCTGTAATGATTTGGGTCCAAAAGGGTTGTGCCCGTCTCAAAAAGTGTGCCGGTCGACATGCCAAAACGACGTAAGTGTGCCCGTCGACATGCCAAAACGACGTGCCGCGATGGCAAATGTTTATAGTGCGGGAATGTGTTTATATTGCGGGGTGATTTTTTAACATGTCGACGCGTGGTATCCAAAGTTTAAGGGGTGCTAACCTCAAGACTACAGTCATTGGAGGCAAGGTAGGCTTGAAGGATATTTCCCCCTGACGTACAATGATGTGAGTCACTGGCATGAGTTCCTTCACTTCTGGTTCAACGAGTCCGCCTTGAATGTGGTGACCCAATGCCAGACACCGCGGGGGCCCTTGTTTTCTTCTTTTAACACTTCGATGGTTAGGTTGGACAGGGGGACGGTTAATATTTGGGGTTTGCCACTGTACTCTGGAAACCGTGGCTATACAATCTGCCCATCCATTGCTTTGGGCCAGGTTTGATAAAGGACATGGCTATACATGGCTTCAATCCTATGGCTCAGGAGGAATTCTTGCAATCCCTTGGGAGGGCCCAAAAGAGACCGGTAGAAACGGTAGTACCACAGGGCTAGCAAGATCCTGGCACTGCAGTTTTTGCCAAGTACATAAACAACACGAACTAATATAGGTTTGTCAGAAAAGATGGCCCTCCAAAATCCCATAGCTTAGTTTTTTTCCCCTCAAAATACTATAGATCCTCATGTTTCCGCTTTTTTTCGGCGGCATCCTGTTGTTTTTAATTGGTGTGTAGTTCACCCCATTAAGGTGACGTTGAAAAGCGACATATAAGGACTCCTGTTCTCGTTGGTTCAATTTCCTGTTTGTTGATGAAATTATGGTCGCAATGCGCAACCTCGTTTTTTGATGTTTTTTGTTTGCTGGCGCAAGTCTTAGTTGCCGAATTGCACAAGTTTTTCTGGTTCAAACACATTTTTCCGAGACTTGGTTGAACAGGACATGTTTGAGAATCAACACAGCAGTTGGATATCAAGAAATTGCAGTTTCCCGGCTTACTGCAAGAAATCCTTCAAATCAAACTGTGCCATGTCATGTTGTGACATATACGTATACCTGTTTTGTTGGTTCAATTATGTTCAATTATCTTTCTTCTTGGTTCGTTCCAAACTTTGTTGGAAGTCCTCAAGGTTTGACCTTAGGTGCTTGCCGGGATGCCACCAAAGAGTACAAGAGCGCATGGCAGCGAATCCTCCGGTTCGTCGTCGACTTTGACAGGTTGGAAAGATGAATTAAGCCAGATGAGTCTGTGTGATACATAATGATATATATATATATATATGTATATATATTATATACTGTATTTATAATCACATATATATATACACTGTATTTATAATCACATATATATATATATACATACAAACATACATACATACATATATATATATATATATTCCCCAATTTCACAAAAGGAGTGGTTTTGCGTTTACCTGTTTCCTAAGGTATGGAAAATGGCTTCTAGAGCCAGAACGTGATGTTTCATCGACATTTTGGTGCGAGCTTTACTTGGCTATCCAAACATGTTGATATAACCAGCAAAATGGTGATATAGTCCAAGAAGATGATTATTTTCGAAACAAAAATAGGTACAGAACACAGTACATGCGTGTCAATCACTTTGTGTATTTTTTTGCGCAAAACATGAGAAAACCTGTATGTATATATAGATAAATGTGGCTACTCTTCAATACAGGGGTGATGCCGCCCATCAATGATGGGTCATCCTGGAATCGAAGCGAAGATCGTAACATTCCTAGTGTCTTTGGACAATGGTAAAAAGGACAGCATGGCTGATGGATTGAGGAAAGCCCCACATGAGATAGTTATTTAAACAACATGGGATAGTTAGCCAACAAGATGGTAGGGCTATCATCTACACTGGAGAAGATGAATGTTGGTTGTACATTTTGGGTGGAAACCAATAATCCCGTTGGAGGGTGAGGGAATTTATTTGAAGGTGACAAGACACAACAAGCGGCTTCAGCAGGATACCTGAGAAACTTCCCTTCTTCTGGGCTCACTAGTTTGGTACCCACTCGAAGTGGCACTTGCATATTACAATGACACTTTCTTACAGGATTGGACGATAAGATCAATAAGTGAACACATTACAGGACAATTCCATACAATTCCATTATTTGGATGTAGCCCTACGCAGCAGTACCCAGGTGTATGCAATGTCAATGGTACTGTAATTCCTCTGGTCAACAGGTGCTGATGGCTCTGGTGTTCCTTGGTTTCTGACACAACACTAAGACATCATCAAACACCGCTGAATCCGCTTAGTCATGAACAATGGGGTGACATATTCCATTGTCATATTCGAATTTACTTACTGTCAGGATGGGTTCTACGCGTGAACGAGCACCTTGGGGATTCTTTGGCTGACAGTCACAGTGGCAGAGAAACAATACACACTGGGCCAAGCGAACAATCTGGGCAATCTGGACAATCTGAGCACTCTGAGCAATCTGGACAATCCGGACAACCTGAGCACCCTGGGCAATCTGGACAATCTGGGCAATCTGAGTACTCTGAGGAATGTGGACAATCTGGGCAATCGGAGTTCTCTGAGCAATGTGGGCAATCTGAACACTGTCACTCTGGGCAATCTGGTTCGGATGAGGAGAGGACGGTTTCGGATCCTCATCCGCCTCGATCATCCGAATCGACATCAGCTGAGAGCCGACAAGCTGTTCCAGAACCAGTCACAGCTGTTCCTCGTCCAGTGGGTCTACAGTCACCAGCAAGGGATCCCAAGTCTGGGTCTGCCGAGGATCATCGGAATGAGCCCTGTCTCTTCCATTCCTACCAAGGTTGTCTGAAAGGGGATCAGTGTGAATATTCACATCTTATCCATGCCGATCAAATCCAGATCCCGGGGCCCAAGACCCGGCGCGGCCACGCCCTCCTGCGCATCAAGCGGCGCTTGGCGCATCGGCTAAGCACCGCAGATCTGTATTTGGTGCATCACGAGCTCCAGGCAGAGGCGCGGAAGGACCCCTACGCCAAGGACTGCGAAAAATCCTTGGAATATGGGATATCATTGGGATAGAATAGGCGGCAATATTTGGATGTGTCAGAAACCAGGGGATTCCCCCCTTTCATGGCCAATCTGAGGAAAATGAGGTGATGTTCCAGTGGCATGGGGAGCACCTCATTTTCAGACAAACCCATTTATTTCTTACATGGTGCGAACGGTCTTGGTTTGCCTTTGCCCAGAATTTTAAGCATTTCTCTGGAATATGACCCGTTGAAGGGACTGATTGTCAAGAAAAACATGAGATTTTGGGATTTTGGGGTACATACCTATATTTTGGGGCCAAAGTGTGTTTCTATTTTGGGGTTGTCTATTATTATGTATGATTTGTGATAGGCTTCCTGATCGTGATTAATCGTGTATGCCCATGATGAGGGTGACTTTTTACATTTTTTACGGACAGGGGTGGCCACAACCGCCCAGTAGAGAGGAAAGAGTTCCAGGATGTTGTGGATGATCTTCAGTTCGGAATTTCCAGGTGTCCAATGTTACGTAGGCTACGGGTGGGGGAGTGTTCTTGTGAATGAAAACTTGGAAAACATCCGGGATTACTGGCAAACAAACGGTGAGGAACTGATCCGAAGGCATCTCCGCCGCGCAGCGAGCAGTTCTCATGTTTGGCTTTGAGCTCTTTGAGTCGCCCCAGGGGGGTTGGCAGGCACCAAACAGTGGTGATGCGTCAGAAGTCACGTTGTCGGAGCGTGCCTTGATGAGAGGTTTGTGGATGAAGTGGAAATGCGGAAATTAATGATAATTATACACATATATTATATCACATGCGCATTTACTCATATTATCTCATGATTTTTGATCTAAATTTGAATACATGTACTTATCGTTTTTTCTAGGGTATGCTTAGACGTTGTTGAACTCTATAATTGAATGAAAAAAGGCTCGTGGAAGCTTGATAGGAGCTGCGTTTCATGGGTTGATTAGTGCGGATCACTTCCGTTACAATTTGAGATTGTCTGAAAATATTTGATTCTTATTTTCCCCATTACTGCAAAACTATTTTATACTTGCCATTTTGGGGGTAAAAAGATGGTATGTACCCCTTGTTCAGACACAGCCATTTGCAGATTTGGACTCCAATCTCTCTACAGTAACAAACATTCCCTCTTTCAGACAGGATCAGATTCGTTGACGGGTCTCTATGACGTGCTTTTCCAGACTAACCCTTGCTCCTGAAAATATGATGATTTAGCGCTGGATTAGATCAATAAGTTTAAACCCGGAAGACTGACAAAGCATGGCTATGTCAAATAAGAAACTCACCTTGAAAGCCCATTGGTGAAGTTCCATGTGATCGTTTTTTTGGGGTGTACACTATACAATATAATCAATATACATTCCTGTACACAAGGGTGCCAATATCTTACCAAAGCGAAATTCAACCTGAATTCACGCCACCAGTTTCAGCCTTCTGCTTGTTTTCAGAGAGATGCGCCTTCAGTTTTGCATGTTTTCACTTCTTCCAGACACCTTGGCTCAGCAGAGCCAGCAGTAGCGTCACAAAGCCAAATCGGGAGCATCAACAATTGGCCGATCATGGTTCAAGGCCCCCAAACAAGCAAATGCACATAATTCTATATACAGGGAAAAAAATCGAATGCAGTGGTTTTGTGAGTTCGCAATCCCGATTCTTGCAGCTACAGTGGCCTGGTATTGGCATCTAGTGGGTGATATTTTAGATTGCTCATCGTCTCGAGACACTGTGTAAAAATATGAGGTGGCACCTGTAGAAACATGTCCAGATCCGTGCTTGAGATGTGATATGTTTTTGTTGATTCATTTTGCTTCAGGTGTCAGAAACAAAAAGGTACTGCTGCAGTTCTCTTCTGGTTCTGTTGAGGCTCGAATGGTTTACTTGGCTCGGGTTTCTACATGCCCATGTTCCTGAGTTTCGTTCCTATACAGGGTCAGTCTCGAGGCTTGTCGAGGAAAACAGGCCCAAGAAGAGCGTTCAGTGGAAGAAGATGAAGTAGATGAGTAATGATGAGTGTATTTTGGTCGTTGAATGCACTTCTTACGACATCTTTTGACATGATGATCTTTTATGGGGATGCGTTACCTCGTCAAACCAAACACTACCAAGTGAAGCCAACATGATTTCTTGCTCAATGATAAAAGTTTCATGGCGAGAAAAAGATAGTTTCTTCATACTTCTTCCAGACACCTTGGCTCAGCAGTGCCAGCAGTAGCGTCACAAAGCCAAATCGGGACAAGCAAATAATTGGTCGATGATGGTTCAAGGCCCCCAAACAAGCAAATGCACATAATTCTACAGGTACAAATTCATACAAATTCGAATGCAGTGGTTTTGTGAGTTCGCAATCCCGATTCTTGCAGCTGCAGTGGCTTGGCATTGGCATTTAGTAGACGATGTTTCACATGTTTTGCATCAGCTCGAGACGCACGGAGCGGTTTTGACTTGGAAGGCAAGTGTCAAGAGATGAGGTGGAACCTGTAGGAACCTGAAGTTGTCCAGGTCACTTCTTGAGATGTGATATGTTTTGGATTCATTGTGTTTCAGGTGAAACAGTTTCAGGTGGCGCAATAGGGTTTCCATCTCATTCTCTTGAACAGCTCCACTGGAAATCATGGCTCAGCACAGAATCTAGCAAGCTGTCCATCTCGAGGGTCGAGGAACACAGGCCCAAGACGAGTGTGAGGGAGATGAAGAAGTAGATGAGTAACGATGAGTGTATTTTAGTCGTTGAACGCACTTCTTAGACATGAATCATTCATTTGATTTGGTGAGTGAGAATAGTACCATAGGGTAACAATCACCTTTACAACTCCTTTACAATGCCGCATGTGCAGGGTGGATCCATTTCTATCGTTTCTTGTCTGTTATTGTATGATCATTTAGGATGCCAATCGCTACCGAGGGAAGCCATCATGAGTTTCATGGAGGGAAAGAAGATTTGACTTCTTCATACTTCTTCCAGACACCTTGGCTCAGGAGCCAGCAGTACTGTCACAAAGCCAGATCGGGATAAAACAGAAGGTATATATATAATTATATATATAATATATTATATACATATAATATTACCCACAGACGCCGTGTGTTTCCCAGACATTAACATTGAGAATGTCGTGCTGTCGAATATATGATAGGAGAGATTGCAGAAAATACTGCGTATACGCAGTGTTCTCCAGTTTAGGATTCAAAGTTTTCAGAGCCTAGGTTTTAGGGTTTAGGGTTTGGGGTTTGGGATTTTAGGGTTTGGTGTTTTAGGGTTTAGGATGGTTTAGGGTTTTAGGGTTTAGGGTTCGTCGTCTGGGAAATCTCAAAACACTGGCCCTGCCCAGGTGTTTGAGCATGTTGAAGGATAATGTTTAAACCTGTTTAAATGCCATTTGAACCTTCCGGGCAACACACAGCGCCTGGCCGTAGTATTACTATAATATAATTGTTTATAAATAAATATATATATATACAAGAAATAACTGCAAATCAAGGTTCAAGGCCCCCAAACAAGCAAAGTCACATAATTCTACAGGGTAAAAATTCGAATGCAGTGGTTTTGTGAGTTCGCAATCCCGATTCTTGCAGCTACAGTGGCTTGGTATTGGCATTCAGTGGATGATATTTCAGGCTGCTCATCGTCTCAATACACTGTGTCAAAATATGAGGTGGCACCTGTAGAAACCTGTCCAGATCCGTGCTTGAGATGTGATATGTTTTTTGTCGATGCATTTTGCTTCAGGTGTCAGAAACAAAGAAGGTACTGCTGCAGTTCTCTTCTGGTTCTGTTGAGGCTCGAATGGTTTACTTGGCTCGGGTTTCTACATGCCCATGTTCCTGAGTTTCGTTGAATTTGGTGTACCTATACAGGGTCAGTCTCGAGGCTGGTCGAGGAAAACAGGCCCAAGATGAGCGTTCAGTGGAAGGAGATGAAGAAGTAGATGAGTGATGATGAGTGTAATTTGGTCGTTGAACATCTTTCGACATGATGATCCTTTATGGGGATGCGTTACCTCGTCAAACCAAACACTACCGAGTGAAGCCAACATGATTTCTTGCTCAATGATAAAAGCTTCATGGCGAGAAAAAGATAGTTTCTTCATACTTCTTCCAGACACCTTGGCTCAGCAGCGCCAGCAGTAGCGTCACAAAGCCAAATCGGGAGCAGCAACAATTGGCCGATCATGGTTCAAGGCCCCCAAACAAGCAAATGCACATAATTCTATATACAGGGTAAAAATTCGAATGCAGTGGTTTTGTGAGTTCGCAATCCCGATTCTTGCAGCTACAGTGGCCTGGTATTGGCATCTAGTGGATGATATTTTAGATTGCTCATCGTCTCGAGACACCGTGTCAAAATATGAGGTGGCACCTGTAGAAACCTGTCCAGATCAGTGCTTGAGATGTGATATGTTTTTGTTGATTCATTTTGCTTCAGGTGTCAGAAACAAAAAAGGTACTGCTGCAGTTCTCTTCTGGTTCTGTTGAGGCTCGAATGGTTTACTTGGCTCGGGTTTCTACATGCCCATGTTCCTGAGTTTCGTTGAATTCAGGGTACCTGTACAGGGTCAGTCTCGAGGCTGGTCGAGGAAAACAGGCCCAAGACGAACGTTCAGTGGAAGGAGATGAAGAAGTAGATGAGTAATGATGAGTGTATTTTGGTCGTTGAATTGAATGCACTTCTTTCGACATCTTTCGACATGATAATCCTTTATGGGGATGCGTTACCTCGTCAAACCAAACACTACCGAGTGAAGCCAACATGATTTCTTGCTCAATGATAAAAGTTTCATGGCGAGAAAAAGATAGTTTCTTCATACTTCTTCCAGACACCTTGGCTCAGCAGAGCCAGCAGTACTGTCACAAAGCCAGATCGGGTTCAAATGGGAATTATAATTTTAATTGGTTATAATTTATATAATTGGTCGATCATGGTTCGAGGCCCCCAAACAAGCAAATGCACATAATTCTACAGGGTACAAATTCATACAAATTCGAA